AGATCATCGGTTAGTTGGAGCGAAATCGAAAGGGGTATAATTCTCTAATCCTTTTGTGTTGTTTTTTTACCTTACGTTGAAGTTCGTTGCGCTGGTCGAGCATGTACTGAGTCTGCATATATATATTCGGGTAGTGAATCAACGTATTCACAATCGTGGTTAGAGAGCTCGCAAAATCAAAATCTAATGGTTGTGCTTCAATAAAAACCAATCAAAAGTACCCTGAGAGCTCGAATCTGCTTCAAGGAAGAATCAAGCTGCCTCTCAAGTGCCTCAAGCTCCTTAGTGTTAAGAGGGCCAAGATCTTCTCCTAATAAGTTCCTATTTCATCCCCATTGCCGAAAAATATCATATATAAGAGTCGGTCCAATCCGAAAAGTCAGTCTCTGTGATGAGAAGTCATGAGTCACCTTTGGGTTCTCTGTAAGGCGTCGAAACGCTGCTTAAGCTTCAGGTACTCCTGCTGGCTGCTCAGCTCCTGAAAGCATCATACATTTGATCCAAAATTTAGATGAATCTATAGCACATTTATGGCTCTAAATAAACTCTTTTGAGGGATTTGATAAAGAAGGAGAAGAAGAAGAAGAAGAAGAAGAAGAAGAAGGTGTACAACTTCTAAGGCCTCTCTTGAAGGCACATTGGGCTCAGGGGCTCCATAGCTGCATTTCTGGTACCTCTCGAGGGTTTTGAGCATGCTGCAACAAATCAACTGATTAAGTCGCCATTCACAAGAACTTATTGGAGGATTAGGTTATTGAAGTTCATCAATGGTCAAGAGTTTGTGTATATCTCAATCACTCAAGTGATTAACCAATCCATCCCTTTTTTTAGCCTCCCAGTGAACTTTTGGAGAAGGAAAATCTAAGAGCCTTCCAAAGAACAGATATGAGAGTTAGAAAACCCAGATGCAAAAACAAAACAAAATAAAAATCAAGAAACATGGGTGATGAATCCGAACTTGACAAGTAGATATCCTCCGGGTATTAGATTGGTCTGGAGAAAAATTGTTTGACATATTGATGTCAATGTCAAACCAAAATGGAAAAGCTAGGGTTAGTGGTAGCTGTGGAAACACCAAACCCTAGTTCATCAGAAGAAGGAGAGAAGATTTTGGAGAGATCTCAGCGTCTGATGCCAGAAAAATTGACTGATTTGATTTGAGAGAGAGAAAGAGAGAGAGAGGGTTTATTCAAGAAACTGCAAATCCCTAATTTAATCAAGGGTGAAGAACAAGAACCGGACTGAATGAAAATCAAAAGGTGGAAGCTTTACAAGAGAAACCCTAATTTTACTTGAAGAGAATTTACAGAAATTCATCTCACCAGATTTGCTGGAAACTGAATCAATCTGATCACTCACCGTCCTTAAGAGAAACCCTAATTTTTACTTCAACGGAATTTACGGAAATCCTCCAACTCACCAGATTTGCTGGAGACTGAATCTGATGATCACTCACCATTCTCGAGTAACAAAGCAACATCCAAGACCGGAAGACCAAACCCAAAAACAAAAGATGGAAACTTTGCTTGGAGAATTTAAAAAAAAAAAACTTTTTTTCCCTCAAAGAAGACGAACACAGATGCTGCAACAAGCTTCTTCTAATTTATAGCAAAGCTCCAAATCAGCTTTCATTGAACCAGGAAGGATTAGAAAACAGATAACTTTCTAAACCTCAAGATAATTAAACAAATCTGGAAGCATTTCAGATTGTCAAACAAAAAAAAAAATGCAAAGCTGATCAGCATAGTGATCTTTTCTTCTTCTTCCTTTTTTTTTAATTGTTTTTATGAAGTTTATTAATTTGATCAAATTTTTTTATGAAATTGTTTTTCCAGTTGCAGATCTAACACAAACACACAAAAAAAACTGCTAAAAACGCCGAGACATTCACCAAAACGGCAATAAAAAACCCTCCCCAAACAGCTATACCAACAACAAAAAAAATGGATCAACTTTATTTTCCATCTCCCCAAAACACATTAACCCATGAACCCTAAATCAAGAAAAACAGAAACCCAGATCACCAAAAGGGAAGATTCTTTTTCAACAAAGTTTTTCTTCTTGTACTTTCAATTCTCAAAAATGGGGGTTTCCCCAATCCATCTCCTTTCTTTTTTTGTTCTCTCCCCTCTCACCTCTTTTTTTTTTATGGTTGCAGAGAGAACGTACGGTACACCACATCACATCCACACACGTCTTGCTGATACATGCACATGTATGCGTGTGTGTGTGTGTATATAATATATGTATATACCTTGAGCTGCTGCAAAACTCGTACAGCTTTCCTCTATTTGAGAAGATGATGAGAGCAACCTCTGCATCGCAGAGAACTGAGAGCTCATACGCTTTCTTCAACAGACCATTCCTTCTCTTCGCAAAGGTCACTTGCCTATTGATCTTGTTCTCTATCCTCTTCAACTCAACACGACCTCTTCCCATTTTTTTTT